AGGCTGAGCCCAGGAGGTCGAGGATGGGTGAGCCATGATCATGCCACCGCACCCCAGTCTGGGCAGCAGTGAGAACCTGAAAAAAAAAAAAAAAAAAAAAAGGTGGAGAAACCAACAGTGAAAGATATAGCATCCCTGGAGGTACAGTGGCCCAAGCCCTCCACAAATTGAAGCAGTGATTGCTACTCCGCGGCTGCCTTCTAGAGAGTAGTCTGTGCTATTCTGAAGGTGCTTTGGCAAGCCATTATATCTGACCCTGCACTTAGCAGGAGACACGTGCTCTTAACCATCTCCCTCTGGAGCACTGTGGTTCAGGAAGGTAAGCATGGAGCCTGCCTCATCTGTCTCCCAGACCATACCAAACCCCTCCTCCCAAATACTGGCCCTTAGAGACACTTCGCCAGGGGGCTCCGCTAAGCGCACTGCAGTGGTCATCGTTTTGAAAAATGCAGTGATAGCCACATCCCATCTCTAAGTCCTGATGCCAATGAGAGCTTGCAGCCGACGGGCTTGGGGGGAGGCAGAGGCAGTTCTGAGCCCATGGCCAGACTTCTGGGTGGTGTGGATGCTAAAAACGTTTATGCCGTTTTCTCTGTCCTTTCTCCTGCAGAGAGAGACACCAAGGGGAAGATCCTTTGTGTCTTCCAAGGGATTGGGAAACTGATTCTGCTTCTGGGATTTCTCTACTTGTTCGTGTGCTCCTTGGATGTTCTCAGCAGTGCCTTCCAGCTTGTGGGAGGTAAGGATATAAGGCTGGGAAGTCTAGGACGAGGGGTGTGTTACAGGTAAGCATGGAGCATAGAGCACAGAGCCGCGAGCCCTCTCCAGCTGCAGCCTGCCAAGGTGTCACCCTGGATCATTGATCAAGACTAGGCTCCCATTTTATTTTTTTATTTATTTTTGTTTTGTTTTGTCTCTTTGGGGGGGGGGGTTTGAGTTGGTCTCACTCTGTCGCCCAGACTGGAGTGCAGTGGCCACTACCGGCCACCGCAGCCTCGACCTGCTGGGCTCCGGTGACCCTTCCACCTCAGCCTCCCAAGTAGCTGGAACTACAGGCGCGCGCTACCACGCCCGGCTAATTTTTGATTTATTGTAGAGATGAGGTCTCACCAAGTTGCCCGGGTGGGTCTCGAACCCACGGGCTCAGGCAATCCACTCACCTCAGCCTCCCAAAGGCGTGGGATTACAGGCTGAGCCACCGAGCCCGGCTTAGGCTCCCATTTTAAAGAAGAGAACACTGAGGCCTAAAAAGAGTCTGTGACTGGGCCAGGGTAGAATAGGCCCGCAGCCAAGGCTGGAGTCTATTTCAAGCTATGGGTGCCTTGTGTCTGTCCACAAGCCCCAGGCAGGAAGCTGTCTGACATAAAGACTTACGGAGGAAAGCCAGGCATGGTGGTTCATGCCTGAAATCTAAGCACACTGGGAGACTGAGGTGGGAGGATTGCTTGAGCCCAGGAGTTCAAAACGAGCCTAGGGCAACATCATGTGAAGAAATTAACCGGGCATGATGGTGGTGCCTGCCTGTAGTCCCAGCTATTCTGGGAGGCTGAGGCAGGAGAATCACTTGAGCCCAGAAGATGGAATCTGCAGTGAACAGTGATCCTGCCACTAAACTCCAGCCCAGACAACAGAGTGAAACCCTATGTCAAAAGGTGGCTCAGCCTGTAATCCCGCACCTTTGGGAGGCTGAGGTGAGTGGATTGCCTGAGCCCGCAGGTTCGAGACCCGCCTGGGCAGCGAGACCTCATCTCTACAATAAATCAAAAAAAAAATCAGCTGGGCGTGGTAGCGCATGCCTGTAATTCCGGCTACTTGGAAGGCTGAGGCGGAAGGATTGCCGGAGCCCAGTAGGTCGAGGCTGTGGTGGCTGGGAGCGGCCACTGCACTCCAGTCTGGGCGACAGAGTGAGACTCCAACTCAAAAAAAAAAAAAATTATTGGGGGGGTGTGATCCCTGCTGTCCTGGGGCCTCCCCACCAGAGGAGATTATGGAATAAGAGACAGTGCTCTCTTCGGTCAAAGCAAATATGAAAATCCTGCTGGGCTGGTGCTAGGGAAAGCAGACTCTCCACCACTGGACTGGGGGTGTCAGCAGCTATCGTGGTGGCCCACACATGTCCCAGGATCCAATGTGCCTGCGCATCTGAGAGGGAGGTGGAAGTGAGGTCACCATGGGATCGGTTACCTTTGTCATTGAAGATGACCACAGTAATAGGCAGCACTCTGAGGGCCTGCTGGGTGGATGCAGGCATGTTCCCTGCTTGTCCCCGCTGCTCTTGTCAAGGGGCTTTCCCTTTGTGGAGGAGAGCAGCGAGGCTCAGAGCTCACTCCTCAGCTTGAGATGCTCAGCCTGTGGGAATCAGTCTCAGATCCAGGTGACACCAAGGACCACGGGTTTCTGTGGGCCGCGATACCTCTCTTGAAGCCACCTTTGAGACTCGGGAGAGCTGGGGAGAGGGGCACACGTCAGGGACCATCAGTGGGGTAAGCTGACTTCCTGGGTCCTGTTGGGCCCCCTAATGGCTGGCAGCGTCAGCAGAGGCCTGTGTTCTCTGATCTCAGACACGTCACATGCATTCTCTGGGCCTTCGCCTGCTTCACACAGTGGACTTGGGAGTGGCTTGATGGTCTCAAAGGGACAGTCTCCAGAGTGACTTGCCCTGCATTCAACTACAGACTGGGGCTTGGGCTGCAGGCAGAGAGAGAAGGTCCACTCTTGGAGGGTCGATCTTCTGAAACGAGAATACAGCTCAGAGGCGGAGGGATGGGGAATTGGGAGGCTCCTGGGTGCCAGGACAGAGGGAGGCCAGGTCCATGATGGGAGAAGGCTGGGAAAGGGCTTGCTGACCGAGGCGGAGGCTGTAGGATGGGAGGATGTAGGGTGAAGGAGCGAGAGGACCCAGGAGCTGGCAGTAGGGGGGAAGAGGGATCAGAGAGGCAGAGACAGGAGGCGCATGTCAATAGCCAGCAGGCCTCCTGCCTCATGGGGCAACCTGGGAAAAGTAAGGAAGCAAGATGCCATGGGCAGCCAGCAGGCCTCTGTTGGAGACTTTTGCTTACTTGGTGCCTGCCTGGCCCTGCCCCCATCCCCAATCACGTGGCCGTTGGTTTGTTTTTCAGGAAAGATGGCCGGGCAGTTCTTCAGCAACAATTCCATCATGTCCAACCCCGTGGCGGGACTGATGATTGGGGTGCTGGTAACTGTCTTGGTGCAGAGCTCCAGCACATCCTCTTCCATCGTGGTCAGCATGGTAGCCTCCTCATGTGAGTCCCTGCACTCCAGGCCCTGCCCGTCCATCTGGTGGGCCTGGAATTCACTCGGGATATGTCCACACCTTGTCTTCATGTCTTCCCGTCTTGTCCAGCTGCGATGGTTTTTCCCTCTTGATCCCAAGCAGCTTCCTGTTTCGTTTCCATGACTGGATCTGGAAACAGACCCTGATGCTTGAGGACTTAGCTCTGAACTCTCAAGAAACATGCCATCCAGTGTAGTGGCCACTGACCACATGTGGCTGTTTAATTTTATTGAAACTTAATGGCTGTAAATTTAAAATATAAAATTTTCCCAGGCGCTGTGGCTCATGCCTGTAATCTGAAAACTTTGGGAGACCGAGGCTGGAGGATCACCTGAGCCTAGGAGTTTAAGACCAGCCTGGACAACAGTGGGATCTCACGGCTACAAAAAAATAAATTTAGCCAAGCTTAGTGGCGTGCGCCTGTATTCCCAGTTATTTGGGAGGCTGGGCAACAGAGTGAGACCTTGATTCAAAAAAAGAAAATAAATAAAATATAAAATTCAGTTCAGCTGGATTCAGTGGCTCAACCTGTAATCCCAGCACTTTGGGAAGCAGAGGTGAGGGGATTGCCTGAGGCCGTGGGTTTGAGACCAGCCCGGGCAACTTGGCGAGACCTTGTCTCTACAATAAAATTTTAAAAATTAGCCTGGCGTGGTAGCTCTCACCTGTGTAGTTCTGGCTATGTGGAAGGCAGAGGCAGAAGGATCGCCTGAACCCAGCCAGTCAACGCTGGGGTGGCTGTGAGTGTGCCACTGCACTTCATCCTGGGCAACAGAGTGAGACTCGCGCTCAAAAAAAAAATTCAGTTCCTCAGTTGCACCTGTTGCATTTCCAATGCCCCAGAGCCCCGTGTGGCTGGCAGCTGCCCTATTGAGCAATGTAGAGATGGAACATTTGCATTTTTGCAGAAGGTTCTCTTGGACAGGGCCACGCTCAGTGCTAGGAACAGTGGTGACTCATGCCTGTCATCCCAAGCCTTTGGATGACATCTGATCACACCACACAGCGGCCTCGCCATAACTGGCCGGCAAGATGATGCTCCAAGCTTGTGCCTGCCTGGAACTTGCTCCGGCTAGGCTGACAGGCCCTCTGACAGGAACCCCTTAGAATGGAGTCATTTCTTCTGTCTACATCCACATTCTAGACAAAATTAACTAGAACTTTTCTGGGCCCAACGAGAAAAAGTTATTACATATTCAAAATATTTTACTTGCATGTGTCAGGAAATTGTAACAATATGCCAATCTTGTTAGCATAAGTAATGATCCTGCCAGAATTTTTCCAGAAGTAGACCAGAGCCTGTCTAGCTTGTGAGTAATGATGTTCCCTTGCAGGTGAGCATCTTCCGTGTACAACTGATTCAGGTCCGTGAGTCCTGGAACCCATTCACCTGGGTTCTATTCGTGGGCAGCTTCCTGGTCCCTTTCAGGCTGGCTTTGCATCAGCATTGAGCGGAAGAGACTAGAAGGGCACATTTAACCTGGGGTCCATAGAAGGTCTTTGTCGGGAGGGGGGGTCTATGAGGGTCCTGAAATTATATGCAGGTATTTTATCTTTTAAAAAATTTTTGTAGAAATGGTCTCGCTATGTTATCCAGGCTGGTCTCAAATTCCTGGAGTCAGGCAACCCTTCCACCTCAGCCTCCGAGTAGCTGAGACTACAGGCATGCACCACCATGCGTTGCTAATTTTTTTTTTTTTTTTTTTTCACAGGTGAGATCTTGCTATGTTGTCCAGGCTGGTCTTGAACTCCTGGGCTCAAGTGATCCTCCTGCCTTGGCATCCCAAAGTTCTGGGATCACAGATGTGAGCCACCACGCCCAGCCTCTGTGCAGGAATTTTTCTTGGCACACATGCATGTTTCTATGGCGATTTGTCCTAACATTTATTAGAAATCACAACCCTAAAGGAGATTAAGAGCTGCTGCTTTAGGGGAGTACCAACAGCCACAAGTCCATCCTGCCCTGGGTCACAGGACTCGGCTAGACCGCCTCCCTAAACTTGCTGATGGCTCTTTTCCCACCCTCCAGTGCTGACCGTCCGGTTTGCCATCCCTATCATCATGGGGGCCAACATCGGGACCTCAATCACCAACACCATCGTGGCGCTCATGCAGGCAGGGGACCGCAGTGAGTTCCGAAGGTAGGAAGTTCCCGTAGGCACCACCTAGCAGATGGCAGTGGAAAACACAAGCAGTGGCCCCCGGCATGGCACATGCTTGGGCGTGGACTCATCTGGCTCTTGGGGTCCCCTCCCGCAGGGCTTTTGCAGGAGCCACCGTGCATGACTTCTTCAACTGGCTCTCCGTGCTGGTGCTCCTGCCCCTGGAGGCTGCCACCCATTACCTGGAGGTCCTGACCAACCTTGTGGTGGAGACCTTCCACTTCAAGAACGGAGAAGACGCCCCAGCTCTTCTGAAGGTCATCACGGATCCCTTTACCAAACTCATTATCCAGGTAATCTGGCTCCTCTGAGAGGAAAGGGAACAGACACCCCACCCACTCTGCCCACACCCTGCTGACCCTGTAGAAATTGATGAAGGAGGCTGGGTGCTGTGGCTCACACCAGTAATCCCAGCACTTCAGGAGGCTGAGGCAGGAGGATCGCTAGAGCCTGAAGAGTTTGAGACCAGCCTAGGCAAAATAGCAAGAAATAATATAATAACAATAGCTGAGTACGGTGGCTCATGCCTGTAATCCGCCACTTTGGGAGGCAGAGGTGAGAGGATTGCCTGAGCCCCGGGGGTTTGAAAACAGCCTCATCTCTACAATAAATCAAGAAAAATTGACTGGATATAGTGACACGTGCCTGTGGTTCCAGCTATTTGGAAGGCACAGGCAGAAGGATAGCCTGAGCCCAGCAGGTCAAGGCTGTGGTGGCTGTGAGTGTGCCACTGTACTCTAGCCTGGGTGAAAGTGAGAGACCAACTAAAAAAAATTATGTATTAGTATGAGTAATAATAATAATAAATTTAAAATAATTAATGAAAATATACAAGCACTACTCTGTGGGCCACCTCTGAAGAAGCCTAAGGGAGGCCAACTTTTAGGACACTTGATTGAGTGATTGGCTCTGATTATTTCCTTGGCTCAAGGATGTCTTTACTGGGGTGTGGTGCGTCTTGAGATTGGGCCACTTTGTTCCCACCAATGTCCTCAACACCATTGGGTCTCCTGGAACTCAAGTGTTATCTCATTCCTGTCAAAGGGAGGAGGACTCTTAGCTTCTGGTCTTCTCCATCATTCAGTTGCCTAGTGGCTATCTTCTGCCTGCCTGCTGAATGTCTATACCTTTATTCATATACTCATCCGTTCATTCATCCAGCCTTGCTAATGGTGCTGTGCTTCCGGAGGGAGGGCAGAGAGTTAATCTCCCATCGCCTGGAGCCCCTCTCACCACAAGTCCCCAGGTTTCTGTCCCAAATCAGTGCCAAGGACACACTGTCTTCTGTCTGTCGCTTTCCTCAGCTGGATAAAAAGGTCATCAGTCAAATTGCAATGAATGACGAGATAGCCAAAAACAAGAGTCTCATCAAGACTTGGTGCAAGACTTTTACCAATGTGGTAAGTTTCCAAGAATTTCCCCCGGTGGGTGACCCCTTGCATCTGAATGTTAAGCAAAATCTTGCATTTGGGGTAGGCAAATATAAAGGGGAGGCCAGGAGTGGTGGCTCATGCCTGTGGTCCCAGCATTTGGGGCGGCTGAGGCAGGAGGATTGCTTGAGGCCAGGAGTTTGAGACCACTGTCTCTATGTCATTTTAAAAAGAAAATAAAAATAAAAACGTAAGTGGAAAGAAAAAATTGGGAACCCGAAAAATAAAGACTGGCCAGTGACAGTTAGAAAACAAGTCATTGAATGCCAGATGCACTTCAACAGTAGGACACACAGACTCCCTTTTGCCCCACCCCTCCCCACAGATACGTTTTTTCTGGCCTGATTGTTCATGTCTCTTGGAAAAGGCTTACCTCTGGCTGCCTCTCTGTCCCCAGTTTGGGGGTGGGGGCCATGGAAATAGTCTATTGCTTTCCACAGGTGCTGGTGGGAGGTGGCAACTCCCTACCTTTCCAGACTCTTCCAGAGTCTTCCTCCTTGGAAGGCCCACTGATGGAAGGGAACTTACCCAGCCTGCTTTGCATTAGGGTTGTAACTTCCCTTGCTTGCAGGGTGTAGATGTGCTTTTACTTTGGGGGGGTTCTAAGGACTGGAGACTAACATAAATGCAAAACTAGATGTTTTCAAAGAGTGCAGGCTGATTTTCATGGGCTCCAGTTGTTCCAAGAGCTAGCTAACTTTCTTTCTATTTGTTTTTTCTACTGCTACTTAACTTAGAGGCTTACATCAACACTAGTTTATTTCTTTCTTTCTTTTTTTGAGTCTGGGTCTCACTCTGTCACCCACACTGGAGTGCAGGTGGCATGATCATGGCTCACTGCAGGAGACGAGGTCTTACTATGTTGCCCAGGCTGGTCTCAAACTCCTGGGGTCAAGCGACTCTCCCACCTTGGCCTCCCAAAATGCTGAGATTACAGGTGTGAGTCACTGCACTTGACCTGTTCCAAGAGCTTTCAAATAAAGATGAACAATCCTTCAGAGGAAAACGATGATTTAGCCACTACGCACACCCATATGTGTGTGGTGTCTCCGCTGCTCCCTTCCCCACACAAGCCAACGTTGTGGACATTTGTCCTGTTTGTCATCCAGACTCAGATGAACGTCACCGTCCCCTCACCTCAGAACTGCACCTCCCCTTCCCTCTGCTGGACGGACGGCGTCCAAACCTGGACCATCAAGAACGTAACCTACCGGGAGAACATTGCCAAATGTGAGTGGGGCTCAGCTCAGCAGTGGGTCCCAAGACGGGTGTCCGGGGCACTCACATGTGCTTATCTGTGGGGAGGCCCAGTAAGTGAAGGGGCAGCCAGTAAGAGCCACCAAACACTCCCCCATCGGGCCTCAAGCAACGTGCCCTTACAACAGGAAATTTTTTTTTTTTTTTAA